GTTTGGACCTAGACCCGACTTGCCGGGTCTAAGTTTTGGACCCAATTGGACTCGGATCGGGTCTACCCCTCAAGTCCCAAGTCAGGTCTGGGTTCAAACTTAGACTTGGACTCGTCCCGGAACAGGTCCAAGTCATTTGGACCGAGACCCAGATCCAGCTCAATCCAACCCCTACATATAGCTACACCTGTTGCCAATTCATTGGTCATAATTGTTCACCAGTAACAATTGTCCATGTAACTGGAGTGCTAGCAGTCGCGACCCACATCAGTTCAAATCGTCGCACTCAAAGTATCCATCCAACGGCTGTCAAGCACCGTCAAGCTCGAGCCATATCGGTTAACCCATACCTCTCTACGTGCTGTTGAATGGCGTCGGGCCGGCTCCTTGAGGTCAAGCCAGTTGGGCTTTTCGTTCGCATCATGGGAGATAGTGAACTGATATCAACGCGGTGCAATTATTTGTCCTACCAAATAACCTGTTGACTGAGTAAATCATGTGTTTGACCTTGATCGCTTGTTCTGCATTCGTGCATAAGTTAGATTGTCTTAAATCGCCTCGCTATCATGGTGCAGTAGTTCGGTTACCTCGATCACTCGTTAAAACGTCTTGGTCGGGCATGATATCAAATCGATAAAGGGTTTGGTTTAGCCAAAATTGATTAAGTTATTAGTTAAATTATTTAAATCGAATTTAAAATAAAGTAAAATAAAATAAAGAGTAAATTAAAGACAAATTTATTACAAAAAAGTATCTAACTTTGTACGTATTTTAGATACGAGTGATTTATTTACTAACCTTAAAATTTTAGGTAAAATATGAAATGCTCCATTTTGATGTTGAAATTACAAAAAAGGTCTGTCAACTTGGTTTTCCTTATTTTTTGAGCAATTTACATACGGACCCTAAAATTTTAGGTAAAATATAAAATACTCCTATGCATAAATCACAAAAAAAAGTCAGTCAACCCGTCTATTTTATTTTTTTCAAAATTGATTCTTGGTCAAGTCGAATTTTGGTTTTCTTTCATTTTTTTTTTGTTTTTTCGTTAGTAGGGTGGTGCCTCAAGCTTTAAGGCACTGCCTTACTAAAGCAAAAAATTAAAAAAAATAAAATCAAAATTCAAGTTGACTTGAGGCAATTTGGAAAAAACAAAAAAAAGTGATTTGATCGACCTTCTTTGTAATTTCCGCATATAAGTGAAGCATTTACTAAATTTTTACTTTGGATAATACTATGCATGGTTGACGTGAACAGATCCGCCCCAAAGCAATTCAATCTGGCCTTGACAACTAAATGCCCAACTATTATGGTGCACTTGTCCACCCATAGTTACCCGAAGTAGCCCAACAAGGTGGTACTCCAACTCTAAAATCTAGCTCGGCAATTTATAATCAGGATCTCACTCAGAACTCAATTATTTTATTTCGGGTTCTCACTCTCATTTTATAGGGTCCTCGTTCCGATGGATAAAAGGATCACAACCCCCACATACCACGATGCATGCTCACATTCTATAGGGTTCTCGCTCTCATTTTATAGGGAACATGATCCGTCCTTGATTGGAGTTCGATCATTTCAAAATAGGAATGCAATTCAACTTCAAATTGGATCACGTTCCTATTCTGGATGGAAGCGCGATCCTATAACATATGGAACACAATCCCATTGTATGTAGACCGTGTCCCCATTAAGTAAGGATCTAGTTCCCGTTGTGTTGGGAACGCGCTCCACCTTTATATGGGATCTAATTCCGCTATTTTTACCCTCACCAAAGCTCATTCCCTGAGAGCCAGAGCTTTGGGCAACAACCGATGTGACGCTTCCGCTCCTGACCTCGAGGCGTTCCCGCTCCAGCTCCCGGTAACTGTGGTTTAACCACCCAACTCAAGCACCCTTACACCCACATGGGTTGGGCATGGTGGCCCGGCCCGGCCCTAAAAAAATAAGGCCTATGCCACAAATTGTGGCCTAAGGGTTGGGCTAAGGCTAGTACCAACCCGGCCCTCTTTTTTTCTTTTTTTTTTCTTACTTTCTCTTTTGCTGGAAACCGATTCTGTCCCAGCCTATTCTTAGTCCGGAGCGATTTCCAATCCAAATCGCCATGTTTTAAAACACTGGATAGGACTATGGCGATCTCACAACTATAGTCACTAACTAATACTATGATCACACGGATAACAGTATATTTTTTCCCTTGCAAACAATTTTCTCAATTTTTTTTTAATGTCACGTTTTTCAAAATTTAAATTTTATCTATATTTCGTTTTTTCGTTTTCTTTTTTCCTTTTTTTTTTTGGTCTTTTTAGTGGTTTTATGTTTGTTACTTTATTCCCACCTATTACTTACATATATTTCCAGTCAAGGACCTAGGATGGCTTCTCGCCATGCAGAAACACATTTTGCCTTCTCATCAATCACATGCTCCCATATGCCAATGGTTTTAGCCAAAATAATAATAATAATAATAATAATAAACGCAATTAATAATAAAATATGTTAATTAAGAATGCCATACCATCTTGATGATTCATTTTTATCATACTTTACTGCAAAGTCATATGTGATGAATTCGGTTAGATATTTCTCCTTATTTAATCATCATCATTGTCAAAACAGAGCATTTTTCACTAACTGGATTCGGATTTTCTCTGTATTTAATCATGGGCTACAAATTAAGTCCAGTAATACCTTCAACTTTATATTTATTTATGGACCCGGTTTCTATGCGGCCAAGCTCGCATATGTAGAAATGCGGATCTCTTAATAAATCTATTTTTTAGATCAATTTTAAGACTTTAATTTTTAAAGATATGTAATCTCTAACATGGAGATCATGAATATGAAATAAATAAATAAATAAATTTTAAATACAAAAATAATAATTCTAGTAAAAAAAACATTTGGACCGTTAGTTTTCATTGTTTTTAGATGGAACACGTACTTGCATCCACCTTTAAGATGGATGCTTTACACTTTCTGGACCGCATATGTAGAAATGCGGTCCAGCCCGCATGAAACAAATTTCCTTTCTTTATATGCATGTATTATAAGATATAAACATAAGATCTTGCACTTTAAATTTTCAAAAGCTACTGCATAGAATTTTAATTAATTTTCGTCAAATAAATCCTCAAACTTCTTAACAAAATCTAGGTTTTTTTTTTTGTGAGCTCTTTCTTCTGCATTGTATGATCATGAAGGAGAAATTCTTAAAACTCATAACTATTTTCAAATGATGAACATATTTAGCCGGAAAAAATTGCATTTGTTGCCCTCTACTCTCTCAATATAATTTTTTTCAAATTATTTTAACAATTGATTTTTTTCTTCACCCTATAAGTTAATAATTCGTAGTTTCCACTTTTCCCCTTAGCCAAGATGGTTCATTGTTAACCGCACTGTCAAGTTCCCCTACCAGATGGTTGACTGTTAAGCTCCTGTTAGCTTCCCCTCTTGATAACCGCATCAATCACCATTGAAGGAGGATAATCAATTTATGAAAATTGTGGCGACGACTGACAAGCTGATGACAATTAACAAAGACTTCCCCTTGGAAGCGTTAAGACAAACGTGCAGTGGGATGATTAATGAAGAACTTCCACAATCATATAGTTCCGGGTGGGTGGAGAAAATAAGATGTAGTTATCTTATTAGACCAGATCGAATCGAGCTCAAGCTGACTTGTCTGAGCTTAAACATGACTATCCTGCATGACTTGGTTTGTCGAAAGCTTGCTCAAGTTTGGCTCATTACAAAGTTTGGTTCAGTACAACCTGAGTTAAGGCAGTGAACAAAGCTGGCTTGGCTTGTTGACACCCCAGATGCAAATCTAGTCACAGACTCCAACGAAACAAGGTCTCTCTCTATGTGCGTGTGTCCCCTTGCAAAGCATGGGCTATACTTCTGGTCACTCTAATCATGACATTCATTGGTTGAAAAAGGAATTTGATGAGACCCAGTGAGAAGAGTAGAGTTTGGCATTTGGGTTGAGCAATTGTGTTTCAACCAATATTTTAGCCACATTAAATTTTATTGAAGGCTCTTAGTCTGCTTGCTAGTTAGTTTATCCATTAAGCTCTAGAATTTGAAGTCCTACACAAATATTATGTACCAAACGTCCAACAAAATGCTTTGAATCGTGCCATTGATTCGTACATCAAACTAAAATAATTGCAGTCGATGCAATTCTATCGTAAAATGTTCGTTTGTTTGCTTCGTTAGGTCAATAGGGATGATGAGCCCCTATGGTAAAATGCGGATGATAATATGATTGTGATAACAATATGATCCCTACCACACGACTCAATTTTCTCTAGTTTTCTAATATGGATTATCTACTGACCATTTGTCTTTGTTACAAAGAGGTATCAAGTACTTCTAGTCATCAAATTGTAAGACTTGTGGTGCATCACACAGTTCGAAATTTTTTTTTTAACTTTTACTCTAGTTAATACTCTTACGACCACTCAATATGAAATCTAATGGATAAACATGATTGTGATCATATTGTACCAAAAGTAACTTCTCTTTATATAACTTTCCTTTCCAATATAGCTTAAGGATCTTTTAGCAGCCAACACAGCTCCCTAATTAGCCACTGCATTTTTTGACACCCAAAATTATTTTCAGATTGATTTTGACCATCAGGGCTTATAAATGCAAGCCTCAACCAAATTTCAGCCTCATTTTCATCCGAGAATGCAAAAACACAGTATTTTCAGAAAATTGAGATGGCATGGTTCCTTGTGGGGATCTACACTCCACTGAAAGATCAAGTTCTATCCACACCATTTATAGTCTCCATCAACAAGTATTCGAATATTCTCCACGTCAAAAAAGAGGCACATAACCCATACTTGCACTTGGATCATGCCAATTCGAGCACTTCTACAGCATAAATAGTACCACGGCCCATCCCGTACTTGCACGCCAATCCTGCCAATTCAAGCACTTCTACATAACCTTGGAACTCATTATACTCTCTTAAGACACCGTACTAGTTGCCATAATGCCATATAAAGTATTCATGAACCCAACTTTCAGGAGCAGATGAAGCATAGTTGTCACTTTACAGGAAGCATATGATCCCATACCGGGCCCATACTAGTTTTACAGAGATAAGCATTAATATTGCTACATAGTTGACAGATATAACGTAATGGTGCTTCTTTAATTGCAGTTTGGTTCATTCCCTACGTAACAAAGGTCTAAATTGTGGTATTTGTCATGATTGACCTGGCTACCTGCATATGGGATTGATAAGCACCTATTTCACCAAGGAATTTGTTTCAGTCCTTTAAAATCTACACAAATTTCACGAGGTACAAAGGCTGTAAGCATGAATAATTCATTCTTAATATTAGTCTCTGGGGATAAGTCAAGGGTTATTACTCCAGAGCACTGCTTTCTTATGCACTGTCATTCTGCATTGATTATCATGCTGCATTAATAATGCTTCAAAGTCCTCAAGAATGATTATCATTAGCTGAGGGCAGTAGTTTCTTTTCCAGCATTTCTCCTCCCATTTCCCAAGCCATCTCTTCTTCTGGTTGTGAACCACTGAAGGCATTGTTTCTGCTCAGGACTCCCACCATGAACTATCTCCACAAATTTCAAAAACTACACGTAGATGCATGTGCTTAACATGAAATATAAGAACTAACAATAAATTAGCCGGTAAAAAAATTCAGAATAATAAGGAAGTTTGCAGGGATCATTCACATTCACATAATTTGGATATAATATGAACATCATTGGCATCTCTAGGTAACAAGGAAATCAGCGGTTTCCCCTCTGCATCTTGAATCTAGAAACTGGTTTTGGAGAATCAGTACTAGGAGCCTGCAGATGGCAGAGTCTGCCATTAGAAGCTGGTCACTGAAAAAATTAACTGCATCAATCATAAACAAAGCATGGCAACCTGAGAAAATGTCTGGCCCTCATTGCTAGAAAAATCGCGCTCCACAATCAAGCCTGTGAAAGCCTGAGAATGATAGACATGGAATGAGAGGGTTATGCAAATATGTCCACAAATGTGTGTTGAATGTGTGTTGGCATGTGTGTGTGTGTGAGGAAAGGAGAGAGAGAGTGGGAGGTGAGGAGACAGGAGATTGGTATTAATAATGGCTCTCACCTAGTAACCTAGGATGCTTATGCATTCTTCGAGAGAGAAACTAATATTGCAAATAGGACAACCATACAAATTGAATAGGGGTAGCATGGATCAAAGAATATACCTTACGATTAGCAGCTCTGTCTCCTGAACTATGACTGCCTAAATTATCAGCAGCTCTGTCTCCTGAACTATGACTGCTAAAATTATCTTTGAAAACCTGCAAGAAAGGATCATCTACATATGAGTGTCCTCCATATGGTAGAAAAGAAAGACAAGAAATGCTCACCACAATTTAATTTTCAAATCAATATCCGGCAACAATTTATTATCCTAATGCAAGGGGAGCACTACTGAGAGGAATTGCAGCTTGAGGCTTTTCTAAGTAACAGATTCCACAACAATTTGTTGCTTAATTATGGGTGGATCATAACTATGCGATTGCCAGTTGTAAGTCCAGATGAGAAAGAAAGTGGGTTGTGTTAGGTTGGTAGCCAGCAGAAGACTTGCCACATCCCTATCATGAATCTTGATCCAACATTATATACTCAAGCTAAGGTGTTCCCTGTCTGACTGAGGGTATGACCCTTGATAGAGAGGATTAGCAGAACAGGATTCATGTAGCCAACCTCAAATAGTTGAGATAAGGATTGAATGATGATGATGAATTATGGGTGGATTATATTTTCACAATGTCAAATGCGTAAAATAGGTCATATCTAGGACTTCTGAAATTTGTGCCCAAGTTTATAGATCCCATAGTTTGTACTAGGGTGTTGATTTGTAAGAAGAAATGTAAATGACTTAAATCATATAATTATATGCAAATTTTTAGCTTCTTTGGAAATACTAGCGTTGTGCGCATCGAAAAAACTGAGATCAAGTCCAGATAAGTTTATGCCGGTTGCATAGACTGGAGAAAGGGGCAGCCATCAGGTAGACACTCAACAAAGATTAACTAGAGAAAGAACAACTAAATCTTCAATAAGACGAAGCATGTAGTTATTTATCCCAGCATCTTAACGATAAAGTATCAAATGCTTTCATGAAAGCAATGAAGCAAGAAGCAAATACATTGCATTCAACACTAGAAAGACTGCCGAGTGCATGCGAATGAAATACACAATACATCTTTTAACTGCAACAAATCATATTAAGGGCATCATATACACAAGGAGAAAATTCCTACCAGCCCCTAATGAGTTAGGAGAATAATGGTTATTTGAATAACCAATAAGATGTACAAGCTCCAGTAGACTCAGAGAATCAGATAATTATCTATCTCAGAAATGGAAACACATTACCCTTAGAAGGAATTTCAAACATCAGTTGCACGTCAAGATTTTTTGAGAAACAACATAGTTGAAACAGTTTGATCACTTTTCATGCAAGTTAAGTACCACAGACCTTTCTGTTGAGAAAATCTTTTTGGAATATTTTGGACTCAGAACTATGAAGAATTTGCACATCAATACTACCTGCCCTGAAAATTTTGTAACTTGGCATCAGAACTAGATAAGTAAGTCATTTTAAGGATCAAATTCCTAAAAACAGAGTACCTTTAAAGTTTCAGGACCAGGGTTTCAAAATTTAAGTTTAGAAGTACTCTGATAGTTATTCCTGCTTACCCAAAAAATAAAGCAATCACTGACTGAACATATTTCTGTGAGTAAAACAACTCCTGCTTACCCAAAAAATAAGCAATCACTGACTGAACATATTTCTGTGTGTAAAATAACTCCTGCTTACCCAAAAAATAAAGCAATCACTGACTGAACATATTTCTGCGTGTAAAATAACTCATTAGACTAACTACAGTAATGTGCAGTCTGTAGTACTGGGCTAACCAGACCATACTTGTGGGATAACTGGACTCCAGAGTGCAGGCAAAGGTTTTCCAGGTTCACCAATGACAATTGAAAAGAAGGAAGGCAAACCAAACAGCTGGGGCAATGAAACTTTGGTTGTGGATTCCCTAGATTCTAGGGCGCAGAATAGCTTTCCTGGATACACACAGGTAAACATCCATCACCACCATGAACTGTCAACAAACACTTTACATGTTGTTCACCCATATTGCCCGTAAGAAATGAATGAATGGAGATTCTTTACATCAAAACCATATGTGGATCTTTGGTTACACTTCCCCCTGGTTATAGTTATTGACAATTCAAAGATGGGTGCATTAACATGAGTTTACAGTTACACAGCAAGCATAAGGCTTCTCATGTGGCAACAGGTTTCTCTCTTCATGAGGAAACCTTTACCTGTGTTGTGGTGGACCACAACTTCGAAATTTTTTTCTTTCATCTCAACGCGTAATTGGTCAGCACCAACTGCCAACTACTCATGTGGAATGAAGAACCAAAATAGTACATTTTGCGTATCACTCTCAGACCTCCATGATTCCACCTATGACATTTTGCATAATTTTTTTTCAAAGTGCATGAGCTCTACAACACCCTACAGGATCAGTTCTCATATGTGCTTTTTACTATTACCGCCTCGGGCATCTAAACTAAGGAGGGGGGCTTTCTAGCCAGAGGTTGTTCATGGGCATGGGTTTCGGCCACAGTGAGAAGCTTTCTCAACATCTTCATTTTGTTGTTTTTTTTAGTTTTGTTCTTTACTACACATTTTCATTAGATTAAATTTCATTGATAGCAATAAAAGCAGTATACCAAACTCCACTTTCTAACTTTCATAAGTATAAGCGGTTCAGTTCAAAAAACAACAAAAGTTGTAGCAAATAAATAATACCTCCCCCTTTGTTGTAGTCCTCATAGAAATTTTCTCCTCAAGTCTTGGAAAGTATTCTTCCATCTTCACATTGCTAGGCATTCCCAAACTCTTGATTACATTCCCTTCAATGGACTCATCTGAAACCCGTAAGAACCCAAAGGGATCAGCAAAACCATTCAGGTGCCCAAGCACCCTTAACATAACATGTTACCCACACCCAGTAAAATGGTAACATAAGATTTCAAACTTTTGAAAAGCAGCTTGCTCACTATGCACAAGTAGAATAGAGTTGACTCACTTAACTAGATTAATCTCAACCATAAAAACCAACAAGAAGGAACATATTACCAGAATTACCAGAAAATATAACAATTTATTATGAGAAAATTATTTAACGGAAGACCAAGTATAAGAATATTATATCAGATTTAACAAATAAGAAAGCAATTTATTATGAGAAAATTATTTAACGGAAGACCAAGTATAAGAATATTATATCAGATTTAACAAATAAGAAAGCAATTTATTATGAAAAAATTATTTAATTGTGTATCATATGAGAATATTATAACAAACTATCCCCTTAAATTTAAAACCCTAAACTCCTTATAAAAACATGGAACATTTGGAAAGTCATTGTAGGAATAAATTTGACACACATCCTCAACCAAATATGAGAATATTATAATAGATGAACAAATGAGAAAACAATTTATGATGAGAAAATCATTTAATTGATCACCAAATATGAGAATATTATGATAGATTGGCTCCCTACATTTAAATCCTAAACTGCTTAAACAAATAAACCATTTTAAAAGTCAGCATTTTTTAGGAATACATTTGACAAGCACCAGCCTCAGCTCGCACTAAATAATATAGAATAGATGAACAAGTATGGAAATGAGGCACACAATTGACATGTATGAAATTAAAAGGAGCCTCTTTAGCCAACATAAATGAACCTAATGTAAGCTGCATAATATTGTAGAATTTCACTAAACAATAAGAAAGAAGGATCATAACTACAGTAATGCAATAAAGGATTGTGAAGTAGTGATGAACAATAATGTTTATAAAACGGACCCATCTCAATGTTATTTTCCAGGCTAAGAAGTACAAAAGGTTCATCAATAATATAAAAAGGGACTATTTAATGTGAATATGGTAAGAACAGTTTATCCTTAATAACAAAATTTCCAGCAGACCCCTTTGGGAAGTTTGAATAATTTGGTTCACAAACTGCAGTAATTTGCATATCAAACTCTGGACAGAAATTCCACGTCAACACATTCATAGAGGAAGGAAAATGAAATTCCAGCCATTTCCTTTTCCAGTACCAGTTAGGCAGACAATATGCCAATTTACTTATCAGAGAACCTACGTAAAACGCCCAACGCATTACAAGCTAAAAGCTAAACACACTCCTCGGAGACAACCATGAAGCAATGATGATGATAGTTGATGTTAATTGTAACATTGACATTTGAAGGTGTAATATTGATAAAACCCAATCTTGCAACAACAAAAAATAGGGCATCATCATTGATGATCAAAAAGGAACAAAAGATATAGTGAACAAATAGTAAGATTATGGGTGACATCAACTTCTCAAAAAAACAAAGAAAAAGAAAACAGAAAAGATAATGTTGCAATAAACCAGTCCACCAATCAACTACTGCAGAGTGGCAAACAAAGCTCACAAGCTTGCTAAGAGGTGAAATAAGGTGAACGACAGAAGTTGAGAATCAAAAAGTTGAGAATCCACAAAAGTACGGAGAATAACAAAGCTGTCAAAAAATAAATTTCCCAATTTGAAGTTCGTTTTGAAGAATATGCAGGTAATACTTTGGACATGTGAATGAATTACAAGGTCTCATCCTCATTCAAGTTGCAGGATTCTCAGAATAGTGCCATTTCAAGGATTTCTATTAAAAAACAGTAAAAGCATAACGTAATGGATTGTGAAGTGGATGGAACTGTGGAACTATTAACTTTAAGAAGAGGATGACACAGAAACTTTGCAACAGCACTGAACCATTACCAGGATAAGGTCAATGGAATAGTAAAAGGACACTAACAAATTTAAAGGATTGAGGGAATATTCGTTGAATTCTATGCGGTTGCTTCCAGAATGGAAACTGATCTTGGTAAAGGATGAATAACATTTATCATATTTATTGTCATGGAGTAATATCATTTCATTCAGTATAATGTTTAGGAGTTTAACGCCCTCACACATCTTAAAGATAATTTGACCCCTTACTCTAAAACTCAGCAAGTTGACTACAAACTTGCCGCATTTGAATTGCATAGGGCACTTGGTGAGTCTCAAAAGACACATCCGAGTCATTTAAGTTATTTTATTTCCTTTCTATTCTTCAAAAAAGACTTCACAAAATACTTGGTTGAATCTTACCAAGCTGACTTGGCTCGGGACCAAGCTGAATTCATGTTTAGAAACCTAGATAAACCAATCAGCTAAGTTTGCTGGCCTCGCCTAAAACTTATGCGTCGTGTGAGCGCCAAAAAGCCCTAACAAACTTTTCAGATGAATCTATGTACAACAAGCTCTACCAAGTAATGCAACAAATTTTTCAATCATAGGACATAGTGGATGGCGGCTCCACATCAAAGAAAGACGGCTGTATAGGACACTTACAAGAATAAAATGCTAATTATTGATCATCAACAGTATTAAGTAAAAGATTCGGCTTGTTATGTTCAGTTCCGTGCTAATTATCAATCATCTAAAGCATTACGTAAAAGATTGGCCGGGTATGTTCAGTTCCTTACCATTGGTTCATGCCTGAACCATTCTCTCGCATTGCATGTTTGCTGGGGTATGGACAGAAACCAAAAGAAAAAGGAATGTGTCACTGGTGATTGAAATTCATGGCCACTTGTAGACTTCGGGTTTTGGAAAACAAAAGCAACACTGGATTTTTCAAGGTAAAGCTAATGATGGAGACGCATTCACTGAATAAGCCATCCAATGGCTACATTCAGACCAAAGTGAAATGTGTGAGATCTTAAAGCATCTAGGATTTTCACCAAAGAAACAAAGAGCCACGAACAACGCAGGATGGAAACCACTGTCATCAAGTAGAATCTCGATGATGCATACAATGGAAATTTGAGTCGAGTAAGGTGACAGGCTCATCTATGCCCATCTTTAGGACCAGAAGATGCATCATGGGCTGAAGACAGAACTTACCACTTTATGGCAGGTCCATTATCAGGTCCAGCTTGCTAATTTGTGAATTGCCTCGATAACGATAGTTCCATTATTAGAATAAAGCTCTCGCAATTCTGAAAGGCGCAACTGTACATGAGAAGGTTCACTTTGCCAATGACACCATCACACCTACCCAGATTTCCTACAGATGTATCAACAACATCCAATGTAATCTTACTCAAAAAAAAAAAATAAATAAAAAGTAGAATCCAACTAATGATGTCCCAGGGGGGAAGGTTTAATTCCAGCCATCAATTGCTCCACGAATAGGCAAGATTCTGGAATTACAAAACATGTTCGTACACTTCCCTAAAATAGAAAAAATCAGAGGAACTTATTTGAAACTTGTGGATAGTAGACCTACTGACACCGCTACTAATTCCATCATTAAGAATCTGTTTGCATCTATGTTAAACAATAGCAGCAAAACAAATAAATATTGGAGATGAATCAGTGGTACATTAAAACTTTCAAATTACCAAAAGAATTATCAAGAACATTCTGAAGAATATTGTGATAAATAACAAAACTACACAGAATATTGGCGAGCGGAGATTTCCATGTTTCCAGTACAACTAGCTAAATGTTACTTGTACAGTGGCAAATCTCACATCCTTGCATGGATCGTCCTCAAAACCACTTTAAAATGAGTAAGAACAGGAACAATCTCTTAACATCAAATACTTGGATCAATATTAAATGTTTCAACTTGAAGGTTGGACAAAGGTGATCTAGCATGGTGAATACAATTTTTATTTCTATTTTTATTTTTTGTGAAGGGGTTTAGCCAGGGCTTTCCATATTTAGAAGATCCGAGATTGACCATTGATCATGTGCGCCATTGGAGGAAGATACCCGGTGTGGGGTGTACTAAGTCCAGTTGAGGTAACTTTCGGCATCTTGCTTTATGGTTTGCAGTATTTTATTTCTTATTCCTATAAAGCATTGTGTTGGTTTTATTCAATAAAGAACGTTATAAATAGAGGCAGCAAGTGACAGCGATTTATTTATTTATTCTTTTCTTGAGTTGAATTTATTGTAATTGGACCATTGCAAGTGTTCTAGTCGGTGTGGGGAAAAAAATTAAAAATTGTATACACCGTGCTAGATCACCTTTGTCCAACTTTCAATGGTATCAGAGCTAGATCTACTTCTTGTCCTATTTCATTTATTTTACTATTTTTGGTGAGTTAACCAATGACTTTTGTGGTCAAGTGATACACCTCCAGAAGAATTATTGGCACGTTCAAACACCAAAAAAGCACTCTGCAGAATCAGGAATTCTGTGTTGTTTTGGAGCACTAACATGAAGAATATAATGAGGTATTTCTCTAATGCATACTTTAGTGATATTTTATATTTTTGAGAGTATGATCTTCCTGCAAAATTTCAGTGGGAGATCCTGAGGGAATTGAGAGTCATGGACTCATCATTGAAGGGTGTTAATTCTGACCCTACAAAATTCGAGAACTGTCCATTGAGTTCCATGAATTTTTCTACCAATCAAATGATTATATTTTTGGGTAAAATTTGACTGCAACTCATCAAATTGAGTCTACTTTCAAACAAAAATAATTTCATGGAGAAAACCCTTGTGGTTTGAAAGATATGCTCATTTTATTGAAGGGTGCACAAGTTTTATTTTCTGCAACGAAAATTGTTTCAGTGACAATTTTCCTCTCCATGAGGGTAGAGAGGAAAGACAATTTTCCTAGATAGCGTTCATCCTGGAAGGGCTTACAATCTCTCTTCTCCACATTCTCATCCCCCCAATTACAAACTCTCTCTCAAGCATTTTTCACTTATTCTCTCTTATTACATTAATCTTGGCTTTCACAATCAATCTTTTCACAAAGGATTTATGGAGGCAGCGCCTCATTCTCTTTGTTGCTCGGATCTCATCCCTAACATGGTCTTAGTCCATCTTACATGTCACATCGCGAATCATAGACATGTTGTCGTAGAAGATCATCGTGTACCCTTATCGTATGAGGTCGCATCTTCAAGGGCTCAAAGGAGTTCTTCAATCAAGCAGCTCCCTTCTGTAGCCATACAACTAGCACCACACATTCGGGTTCTATGGGTGAAACACATTATAATATGTTGTTATAGCTTGCTCGTCAAACATAAGCAGGTGCTCCCACTGGAATGTTGAGTTTATCTGGATCTGAAAAACCACGTAGTGTGGTTCCTAAGATTACTTGATCATTGCTTTTGTTTGCTGACGAAGTTTTGTGATCTTGGAAGAGCACACAACTGATGAAGAATCACTTGGTCATCATATTTTACATGTCGATGAAGCATCAACTTCTTAGGCCTTTGGATTCTCTCGTACTTATATGAAAAAATACTCTTCTTCATGTTAGCACACCAAAATTCACTATCTTGATTTTTTTACAAATCGTGGGTATATATGCTGCCACTGAGGCTCTCTACACATGGCTTCATTGTGAATAGAAACCAAGATGTTTTCATAGGTATTGAGTTTCTTCTACTTTCTGCAATTCCCAGATTGAACACGCTTCACATAGAGTGTCATATCTCCCCAACTTTGTATTACCTCTCACAGAAGTTTTACTATACTCATGGCACACTATAAAATTTTTGAATGAGCCCTAAAAGGCTTCCATTGTGAGGAGTACAAAGATGTGCCTTAACATGCCACATCTTTTAATTTACTGCAGAATAAAAGATGAGCATCCCATGATAAAAATATAATATCTCTCAACTCACAAAGAGTTTATCTCTGAAACCTTTTGAGTAATGAAATTAACTCAAAAATATAGAATAGTGCTCAGTGTCATCCTCACACCATTTAGTGAGTCTACGATTTAGTGACATTCACGTCACAATACAATTTTCACAGCAGAAAATCAAGTTGCACACCTCTCACTAAAATAATTGTTTCTCTCAATTCACAAAGGATTTCTTCCTCAAACGTTTTCTGTTCAAAACTAGACTCAAAACTAAACCTTGAAATCATGGTGTGAATCCCAAATAATATTTTTCTTCATAGAAATAAATAATTGACATTCATATCACAAAACAGGTCACTACAGAATTCCAAGATGAACACTATCGAAGAAAATTACCTTTTCTCTCTACCCTCATGGAGTTTCCCTTTCAAACGTATTTTGTTTAAAAGTAGACACAGAATGGCAACACATATGTTTCTACAAGCCTCATATCACTTTGTTAGGTAGACTTAAAAAATACTGATATTCACTTCTCAATGAACACACCAAACTGCAAAAAGTCAGAATGACCTCCCTCCAATCAAAAATTTTTATTCCTTATTTCCCATGGGCATTTCTCTCTCAAATAATTTTTATTAAAAATAAAATTGCAGTTTAGAAACTTAATGTGAGCTTTAAAAAATTATGTTAAGAATGGAAATCAAATCATGACCTCCATGGCACTGAAACAGTTTTCGTAACAGAAAATAGCACTTGCACATCCTTCAATAAAATGACCATATCTTTCAAACCACAAGGGTTTTCTCCATGAAATTATTTATGTTTGAAAATAGACTAAATTTGGTGAGTTACACTCAAATTTTACCCAAAAACAAAATCATTTGATTGGTGGAAAAACTCATGGAACTCAAAAAACACTTACAATGGTCCAATTACAATAAATTCAACTCAAAAGAAAAGAATAAATAAATAAATCAGTTCTCACTTGCTGCCTCTATTTACAACTTTCTTTTATTGATTAAAACCAACACGATGCCTTATAGGAATAAGAAATAAAATATTGCAAACCATAAAACAATATGCCGAAAAATTACCTCAACTGGACTTAGTACACCCCACATCGGGTCTCCTCCTTCAATGGGGCACGGGATCAACGACCAATCTCAAATCTTTCAAATATGGGAAAGCCCTGGCTATACCCCTTCACAAAAATATGAGAGCAATAACTACTTGATCGAGCCATGGCATCAATGCCTTAGTCAATTTTATGAGTGAGGTGTGCCCACCTCTATAGTCTCTTATGGGGGCGTCCCCCCTATTTCTCTTTAGAGCAATAAGATCTTCAAGAGGGAGAGAGAAGAATTTCCCAGAGGGTGGCATGCCACCCTAGAGAATTTACACAAAGATAGAGAGAGACAGAGAGAGAGAGATTTTTGGTGTAGAGAATGAGAGGTGAGGAGGTCTCTATTTATAGACTTTTAAGGGGAATAAGGTTCATAGGGATAGCCATTCTTGTAAGTCATTCAATCATTAAATCCGCCATCATGATTCAAAGAATGATGCAGAACCTTATCCTTCAGTTTCCTAAATCTAAATCCCATCAAATAATATATAAGTAAAATATCAGATGGTATCTGTTTATGTAAATATCTCTTTTACATAATTCTAATCCTTTTAAGAGTTGAACTCCTTAAAACATATCTCTTTTAGAAATCCTAATCTCCTTAGGACTCACAGAGCATATCTTTTGAATATCCAAATTTTCTTACTTATCAAATAAAGTTCCATATCACATATCCTATTTAATAATCTTTAATCAATATGATATACAAATCAAGTAAGAGATGCACCCACCAAAAGTGGTGTGACCTACATGGGGGTCCAAAGTGGGCCCCCATGCACATCTCTTATAAATTTATGGTGGGCCCCCATATCACATATGATATTTATAAAATATGGAATTGATTTTTAAAAATTGGGAAGTAAACTTTATTTTATCTCTGAATATCTAAATACTGAAAAATAGAATATTTTTAATTTATAAATTCATTTTGCAAAAAAAAAATATCCAGAGATTTATAAAAAAGGTGCGGTTTGTACAAAGCCTAGGCTCTAAACAATCCAATTAGAGCCTACCTTCAATAGTGTCGAGAAATGTGGTTTCAATACTGGAAATCTTTTTGATAGCCTTGAAATATATTTTCATCTTTGTTTATAAAGTTTGAAGCTTCAAAAATAGTGTAGATCGACAGATCTATGAAAACTTGAAATCTTGAAAATTGACGGTCTAAAAATGCGTTACAAAATACACTATTCCCAAAATTTGAAATCCATTTTTTTCTCATGTCCATGCATCTTGATGTCGAGATGATCAATTTGAGGATATTTGGGCATCAAAACAACCTCTTCTAGTGAAATTTTTTAAGTAGGCTCTTATTTAATTGTTTAGAGCCTCGACTCTATATAAACTTTTCCCTTATAAAAATCAAATAATCATTCTAAAAATCAATTAACATCAAAATAAACAAAACCAAACAATTTTGATTGGAATAGGATCCTTTTAGGTTTAAGAATTAATATTTCTGAAGCACTTCATCTTCTACTATGAGCTATAATCCACACTTGCTTTCTAAAACCGACCTAGCAATTCTTATGACCCACAGACCACTACAAGGGTTCATGATTGGGCTACCAAAGTCAGCCAATAGGCAAGGAGATATAATCCCAGTCTATGGATTACAGGTTTCTCCCCTAGAGACGAACCCATGGTCACCAAGACCAGATGCAACCACAGCTCTATGGTGCATAAGGGTAATATCTCGAACATGTACACGTTGCACCCTCAATGGTGTCTTGCTTTCCCGATACGGCTATCATATGCACATGTCATGTGATAGTTCAGTGATGAAGCTTTGTCCCTCGTCTCTATCGGCCAACCATCAGACACAATAGTCACATAGGCCCTTGGCTCACTCCCCTGGGCAAGTCCAACCTCATCAAGGGATAACCCATAAACCCTAATCGGTTGTGCTTTATGCCCAGGTATTTCGGGGTTTTTCCAACTCGACCGGCCTAGCTCGTCAAGCCAAGTCTGAGTACCGAAAAATAGCATTTGCCTATCTCGATCCCCCTGGACCATAATCTCTCGGTCCCTTGGAACACAATCTCTTGGTCCCTCGGGACCATAATCTCTTGGTCCATCAAGACCATACTCCCATTGGAGTTCTTTGATCCACTATATTAGATAATGATTACATGCTCTCATAAGGTGTTTAATGGCCTCAAAACCCTACACAACTCACTAAAAGCATGCAACCCAAAACTAAATACAGAATCTCGAGCAGCAGTTGGCTCGAATTGCACGTGCAAAAGAAAAGTAATAATTAATTGGTAATTTTGTATAAGTAGCATTTAAGTAACATATAATATAATTTTATGTACAGTCATGAGCACACTGAATGATTACGGGGACAATGGATAGATTACAAGAATTCATGGATAAAAATGGCCAGGCTACTTTCTAATCTTTATATACCAATCAAGTACAAAGAAATGAATTTTTCCACATGTATACCTTGTTTGTGTGGCTGATTCTTGATATCTTCACCCTGTATTTGAAGCATAAAGAGAAAAACGTAAGTATTTGTCTAGTATGAGAAGTCTTAACATGAGGAGCATCGTCAAACAGCAACCAAAAACAGATAATAAACATTTAACGAAATTATAAAGCAAGAAAAGAATCCATAGAAGAGGCACAACAAATAACTCAGTAAGAATGACGGCAGAATAACCAGCACACTTGCTTAACAAACAACTCTCCTTATCCTTAAATAAATAAATCTGTATTATTCAAACTCGCGGTTCCCAGCCCTTATCATACGCAACTTATCTAGTGTCAATCATCCACAAATTATTCACTGCACAATTGCACATATTAGTTTCTTCAAGAAGAAATCTCAAAATTAAAAAGTTTAACTTACTTCATCACCACTACAACGAGCAGAAGTTTCATCATCTAAATCGGGAAGTTCTTCCTCTTCAATCCCTGAAGCATTTTCATCAGCACGAGCTTCTTCCAACTCAAGTTCATCTAACCTCAACATCATTCGGGCATATTCTTCATCCTCAGAAGATCTGTTGCCACTTGTTCTAGAGGAAGGATCAGCATTTGATTCTAATGCACCTGACATGTGCGAGAAATCAGCAAAAATGAATAAAAATATAAATGCAAGTAATCCCCATCCACCCCAGGCTTAACAGCTTAATTGCTACAGCAACAGATAATTTGTAAATTACCCAAAAAAAACAAAAAAATTGTACCAATCTGCATGATTTGACTCTACATTCCTTAACTAAAATCATAATACTTATTAGCAGATAATAATTACCTATCTTGAATCATATGACAAAACAGATGGAGCAATGACATACATGGTACTTACACATTGCAGAAGATAGACGCTTTGCAAGTTTTATCACGAAATCCTACCATTGAATATGATTTCTAGATAGTTCATAATCTTTAAGAGAAAATATAAAGCCATGCAATAAAATGAAAGAAATTTGGATAGATTTAAGTATGAAAATGCCATACAGGCATCAATGAGAGACCACTATGATTAATTCTAGACATGTTACTGCCAAAGTAAAATTGAAGCAAGAAAGAAAAAGTTTTCGTCCATGACAAACTTCTGAAGGTATTGAGAGTATGGGTTTTACCCTGCAGTCCTGAGGTCTGAAGCCCTTCGGTCAACCTCTAAGTTGTGGGTTTATATATAATGATTATCCATTGAAAAAGATTACAAACTTGCCAAAGAAACCAAGAAACTAAAAGCCCAATAAAATGTTAATTTTTTCTCTTGATTTGTTGGACACAAATCACATATCTTTACAAACAAAGAAAGCTTATCAGTGAATCTTGAAATGAAACAGAGAAGAATTGCAAAGATTGAGACAAGAGATGCACAAGCAACAGAAATCATAACCAACAGCACAATAAACAAATTTTTATATTTTCCTGAAATAATCATTAGTCTAGGTAAACCATTCCATTCTTTGGCCTTTGAGTAAAGCACAGCTGTCCACCAATATTCGTTCTGGCACTAAAGTTGAGAATCGTAAGCAGTTATGCTTTAAAAGTCGACTCTAGAACATGGTAATCGGACTGGTGAGTCCTAAAAAAAAAATCCATCCAAACAATGTCAAATATTCCAAAAAAAAAATAAGAACAGAAAAAGTTTAAAAACCTTGGAAGTGCATAATAAAGAACAATAAAACCACATCACAGGTTTTTAGGCTCCATTTGGCATACACAAAGTTACTGGGGTCTCCAAATTAAGGTGGCAATCCTGCTTCGGAATCACGATCAAGCATTCCTTCTCCATGGGAGAATGATTGAATTTTAAAAAAAAATTAATTGAAATTTCTATTTTTATGGCAATTATTTATTAAGTTAACAAATTATACGAAATACGCTCCCGACCTAGGGAGCTTCCTACATGTATTGATCTGTCACTCCCACTTCCAGTCCCCTGCTCCTGCATTCGCTCCAAGCAACTATGGATATAAACCATGCTGTCTGTATCTTGATATGCCTGATTTGTTGTCTTCAATGTGTATACTTCCAAGTTTCAATAGTTGAATATTTAAAGTTTATACTCTATTCATAAATTAACTATTTACATTTGAATGATTTTCAATAGAGGTTAACATTTTTGCCAACCATTTTTAAAAATATTAACAACCATTTTAAACTATATTTAACCATTTCTTTCAGGTTTTTATATTGCATTAGTTGAGAATCAAGACAAAAAAGTTCTTAAAAGAATTAGTAGACCTGCTGACACAAGTTGTTTTGGTCAACAAATGACTTCCAAATTGTGATTAATTTCCCAACTATGCTCTCCACTTTACACCTTTATTAATTACAATAATCCTCTCAAATTCTATAATCTTAGACACTCCAGCAATGAAAGTTCTAAAAAATTGTAAGAATTCTTGTCCTAGATGGTATCATATTGAGTTGTACCATAGTTTTGTATGTTAATTCATGGGTCTCCAATTTTGCTTCATTCCTTTGTATCATATTGTAATCTATCTATATACATGGAGTTGTGTCACCAATTGATAAACAATGAAGGAAGTCTCTGCTATCCAAGCCATTAGGCCCTACTTCTACCTCTCAATCTTCACCTGAATCTTACTTCTCCTCCTATCCTAAGGATCTGACAACCAGCACAACAAAATATATGGAAACTAAGAAACCATGTATCCAAAGTTATTAGCAAATGTTTCTTCTATACTTGTACAGAGGATGATCAAGAACCACATGATGACAAGTGTACCTCAAGCAAGACCAAATTACAAAGTTCCTACTTGAAGTCATTAAGAGAAACAAGAGAAAGGCTATTACAGTAAAAATACAAAAAAAGCATGGATACCAAAATAGATACCAGTCTGATTTTGGGTCGCTATGTTAGTACTTTGTTCGATGTAGTCCTCCCTTATTTCAAATAGACCTTCCTATTGCAAGAGAAGAATGAAAAGCAAACAGGTTATGATATGAAAATACAAAGTTATCATGTAAAAATCATCAGAAAATCAATAAAAACAATGATTACAATTACAATGACCAATGATGTTATTTTACTGTATCCACTGATATTTAATAGACAAGATACATTGATCACTTATAAGGATAGAAGTCTAAAATTATTTTGCAATAGACTGGTATTCTGGCCTTAATTGCAAGGATTTCCTATGACCCACTCCAGCTACGTGATCCTAAGCTTCCTTATGTTGGGGGGAACATGGTCCCAAGCCAATAGGAGTTAGTCACTAGGTTAACAAACCCACTAGGTTAACAAACCCAAATTCTTCATATTTCAAATGAAAAGGAGTAATAAAATGCCCAACAAATAAAAAAACAAAAGCAATAAGTGCATATCCATCATATAAAAAACAAGAATTGCATATCAGTTAAAAAATAAAAAAGCAATAATTACTCAAATCCACTTTTCTTAAAACTTTTCAAAAGAAAAGGGTTTTGTAAATATGGGTTAACCACAGAAACAAAGTTATAAACCCAATGCTCCCGAAATCACATTTAATGTAGGGAATAGGGGCTACACCTTTCATCACAAATGGCTAAGGGATTTTGGCCATTTGTACAAATGTGTACAAGATCTCTCTCTCTCTC